TCAAAGTTTTGAGATTACAGGTGTGAGCCACTGCACCTGGCTTCCACCTTGGCTTCCTTCTAACAAATGACACTGGGGCAAGAGGTAGAGGAAGGGTGGAACCCTTGGGAGGAAGATGTGTGATTTAATCCCTAAATGTACATTATAATTAAAGAGTGATGTCATCAAAAACAAAGGCTGAGAAACAGCCAGGAGGAACTAAGAAGACAAGCTGATGAAAGAAATATACTATGGCATCCTAGATGGGCTCCTGGAACAAAAGGATATTGGGGGAAACTAAGGAAATCCGAATAAACTATGAACCTTAATTAATGTATTGATATAGTCTCATTTGTTGTAAGAAATATGCTGCACTAATGTAAGATGATGATAATAGGGGTCTTGTGATTTAAGATGATTAATCTGCCAGTCATGTGTAGAATGGATGCAGGAATAGGGTTTATGGGGACTCTGGTGTGTGTGTGTGTGTGTGTGTGTGTGTGTGTGTGTGTGTGTCTGTGAAGAGGCAGACTCTGGCTCTGTCACCCAGGCTGGAGTACAGTGGTACGATCATAGCTCACTGTGGCCTCAGACTCCTAGGCTCAAGCAGTCTTCCTGCCTTATCCTCCAGAGTAGCTAGGACTACAGGCACGCAACACTACACCTGGCTACTTGTTAATAAAATTTTCTGTAGAGATAGAGTCTTGCTATGTTGCCCAGGCTTGTCTTGAACTTCTGGCCTCAAGTGATAAAGTCTATTTTTTAAAAAAGCAATGTTATCTACACTCTAATTTGATGCATTCAAGTCCTACGTTTGGTAATGACAGCTATCAAACGCTAAACGACACTGAGTGGCAGGCACTGTTACATATATTATCACATTTAATCCTCAGAACAACCCATGAGGTAGGAAGCATTATCCCTATTTGGAGAATAGGGAAATTGAAGCTTAGAGATTTCCAGGGACACAGCCTTAGTCATATAGCAAGTGAAGTGACAACCCAGGAATTGAACCCATGGTCTTACCTTCTCATTATCCCTGAAGAACGTTGGCACATGTCAGATTGTTTGATTGATTTTTGTAGTAGGAAAAATGGCTCCTTAGTTACCACACCCTTCTGTGCTACTCATTTCTATCCTCCAGACCACAGCACCAGTTTGGGCCCTTGTTACTTCTCCTTTGCAAAACTTTGACAGCCTGTTACCGAGCCTCTCCATGTCCACGGTCTGCATTCAAATCCATTCTACACATGGCTGGTAGATCAATCATCTTAAAGCACAACATCCTTCGTATTCCTCCCCTCCAAAAACCCCTAATGCCTACTGAAAAAAGTCCAAACTACCTCCTCTGCCCCAACCTTTTCATCTCTGACTTGGCCTTACACCAGTATCTGGTGGCTCTACATCCTGTTTCCCAACAAGTTCTCCATCTGGCTTTTATTTTAAATTTATTAAAAATGGAATGACATCATACTGAATGTAAAAATTGCCCAGACTGAGGGAAATTTATGCAAACACTGAGATTTAGGCCAGATCCTCAAAGGAACTTGATATGTAGTGAAAAAACAGATATACAATTCACCATCCCATTGCAGAAGGCGAATGAGCTAACTGCTAGGCAGGAGGAAGAGAGTAACCAGGGAGGGAAGGATTCATCACAACTGGAGGATCCTGGAAGGCTTCCCAAAAAGGGGCCATTTGAGCCTACTGGATGAGTAGATTTTGGCAAGGAGAGAAGGGAAATGGCACCCATGATTTCCTGACTGCCAGAAAGCCCCTGTCCCAGCTCTAAATGTCCCAAAGAACACATTTTCCCAGGCCCTACTTATTCTCTGCACTTCCCTTGGTATACCCCACTTTTCACAATAATCACTTACTCTTTCTACCTTGCATTATAGTTAACTGTGTACATGCCTTATTTCTCTTACTAAGCCATAAGGTCTTTGAGGAAATGGAATGCATTCACTTCATTTCTACTTCCCCATCCACTGAGCCCAGAACTGGCCCATCGCCAGCCTGTAATATAAGCTGGAATGTATGGATAAATGAGTGTGAATTGGGCCAGTTTTAAAAAGTGTTCAGGTTCCTTCATTTATTTAATAATATGAATTAAAACTTCCACTCTGTTGAGGTGTTTGTGCTAAGGAGGATAAAAGTGGTACACATGGGCATGGAGCTACCCTCAAGAAGCTGATCATATAAAGATTGTTTGCATCATCAAATAAAAACTGTTTGGCAAACATCAAATAAATAAATATTTGTTGAGTTGTAATTGTGACTATTTTTAAGAAGGAAAAATAGAGAGCAACAATGACAGACGACATGCACCCAGACTCACAAGTTGTCAGGCACTACAGTGGGCACGTCCCACATTTTAACTCATTTGGTCCTTACCACAGCCCTGAGTTACAACCTTTTAACATGAGAAACCTGAGACATAGGACAGTCAAAGAACTCCCCAAGACTCACAACTAATAACCAGTGTGGCTAGTATTATGGGAGAATTTCACAAAGGGAAGCAATCTAGTCTGTCTACTTAGGGAAGGCCTTCCCGGGGAAGTGACATCGAACTGAGGCCAGGAGGGTGAATAAAGCTGGGCCAGGCAAAGGGGCCACTGTGGGGAGTGTTTTGGGTGGGAAAGCCTGGAGGAGGCCAGAGTCTTAGCCAACTTGAAGAACTGAAAGGAAAGCAGTGAGGCTGGTGGTGAGATAGGCAGAGGCCATGCTAAGGCATTTGTATTTTATGCTAAAAACAATGTACACTTTAAGTAGAGAAGATGATCAGACTGGAGCTTTGAAAACTTCACCCTGGCAGCTGTAGAGGAGCTGTAGAGGAATATGGGGACCCTGTCCCACATATTCCTGTATGTGGTTAGGAGACGGAACGGTGAGTTGAATTGGGTATTGGCAGCGCAGGCGGAGAGCTGTCAGATTTGCTATATTTAGGAGAAGGAAGTAAGAGAATTTGAAAATTAGTTATGGCAGCTGTGAGAGATAGGAGTGTTGAAGATGGTGCTCCAGTTTTCCGACTTGGGTGCCTGGGTGGCTGGTGATGCATTTACTAAGATGTAGAGGATGGAGCTGAGGTTTAAGGGGAAGATGGACTGAAGTCCTGGCCATTATGAGTTTGAAGCCCTGTGAGCCACCTACACAGAGAGAGCTGTATAGGCTCTTGGATGTGTGTTTAGAGGCCAGGCTGGGGTAGAGAGGTACATTGTGGATACACGCGGACCCGCAGAGAAGGCAGCCAAGCCCTGTCCCAAGGAGCCCTCATGTTTGCAGGTCCCACCTGCTTCAGATGTTCCTGGTGATAACGTACATGTTACACTTGTCAGGGCTTTCAAACTAAGCTGTCTGAGGAAGGTCTTATGATTCGTGGCTTAGATCCTGTCTCTGAATAAAAAATCTGTGAGTCCTTTAAATCTTCTTGTCAGTTCCTCGAACTGTTGATGTACTGATTAATATGTAAACTACTGATATTGAAAAGAAGACTGACTTGTTTCTGAATCATATGAACTTTATTTTCTTGTGCACAAAGCACTTTAGCCTGTGTGTTGTCATCTGCAGCCAGTGACTGTAACCTCTGTACTGTACCCTCCGAAAACCCAACTCTGATATGAGGGGTCCTCCTCCCTTCTCCTAAACTTTCTTTTAAAAGCCTTCCAAAGTTTAATAAACTTTGAAACATGCGCAACTTTGTTGGTAAGTCTTCTTGGGTGGATCCTCACATTTACCTTCCAATCAATCAAATTATTTCCACCTCAATAGCCTTAATTTCCGTGGACACTGGTCAGAGCATTTCCTCCTTTCTTCTTCTTTTTTTTTTTTCCAAATATTTTTATTGCATTTTAGGTTTTGGGGTACATGTGTGGAACATGCAAGACTGTTGCATAGGTACACACATGGCAGTGTGATGTGCTGCCTTCCTCCCCATCACCTATATCTGGCATTTCTTCCCATGCTATCTCTCCCCAACTCCCCATCCCTTGCTGTCCCTCCCCTATTTCCCCCGACAGATCCCAGTGTGTGATGCTCCCCCCGACCCCCGTGTCCATGTGTTCTCATTGTTCAACACCCACCTATGAGTGAGAACATGTGGTGTTTGATTTTCTGTTCCTGTGTCAGTTTGCTGAGAATGATGGTTTCCAGGTTCATCCATGTCCCTACAAAGGACATGAACTCATCATTTTTGATGACTGCATAATATTCTATGGTGTATATGTGCCACATTTTCCCTGTGCAGTCTATCATTGATGGGCATTTGAGTTGGTTCCAAGTCTTCGATATTGCAAACAGTGCTGTAATGAACTTACGTGTGCATGTGTCTTCATAAGACAATGATTTATAATCCTTTGGATATATACCCAATAATGGGATTGCTGGGTCAAATGGAATTTCTATTTCTAGGTCCTTGAGAAATCGCCATGCTGTCTTCCACAATGGTTGATCTAGTTTGCACTCCCACCAACAGTGTAAAAGTGTTCCTATTTCTCCACATCCTCTCCAGCATCTGTTTTGTCCAGATTTTTTAATGATCGCCATTCTAACTGGCTTGAGGTGGTATCTCAATGTGGTTTTGATTTGCATTTCTCTAAAAATCCGTGATGATGAGCATTTTTTCATGTGTTTGTTGGCCTCATATATGTCTTCTTTTGAAAAGTGTCTGTTCATATCCTTCTCCCACTTTTGGATGGGTTTGTTTTCTTGTAAATCAGTTTTAGTTCTTTGTAGATTCTGGATATTAGTCCTTTGTCAGATGGGTAGATTGCAAAAATTTTTTCCCATTCTCTTGGTTGCCGGTTCATTCTGCGGGAAGATCCTTGCGTCAGAGGGTGGGCCCGAGGGGCGCGGGATGCAGCCGCGCCCACCCCGCCCCGCGTCAGCGCGTCTTCCGGAAACTCCACGCCTCTGGGTACTCGGTTTCCCCGGCTGGTTCCGGAAGAGTGCGCCGCCGCTGGCGGAGAGAGCGCTCCTGGCCCGCAGTCCGCTTTAGTCTGGGCAGCGCGGAGGGGCGGGCCGGAGGTTCAAGCGCCTGCGGGCTCGCTGGAGAGGCTCGCGTCTGAGTGCCGCGCATCCCCGGGACTTGCACGGGCTGAGCCCCCGGGGTGGGACTGCGGGAATCGGAGCGCCCGGGTCCCCGCCCCGCCCCGCCCCGCCCCGCCCGCCGCGGAGGCGGCGAGCGCGAGAGCCCAGCGGGGTCGCTGCGAGCGGGAGGCGCTGAGACACAAAGGCTGGCGGGATTTGGGCGCAGTCGGGGAGCGGGCAAAAGGAAAGCGAAAGCTGCGCCCCAGGCCGGTGACAGAGCGAAGGCGCCGCGGAGCTCTCCAGACGCCGGCGGTACCCAGACCTGCCTGGCTGACCGCGGTGCGCCGCAGCCATGGCCATCGCCCACCTGGCCACGGAGTACGTGTTCTCGGATTTCTTGCTGAAGGAGCCCACCGAGCCCAAGTTCAAGGGGCTGCGACTGGAGCTGGCCGTGGACAAGATGGTCACGTGCATCGCCGTGGGGCTCCCCCTGCTGCTTATCTCCCTGGCCTTCGCCCAGGAGATCTCCATTGGTAAGCCTTGCCTAGGTCGGAGGGGAGGGCCATCTGGGTCTGGCCGAGTGAGCTGCGATCTTACGATTTTACGGCTCATAGGCCCAAGTCTGGGCACGCCCAACTGTGATGGTCGTAAATGTCAGGTACGATAGTGGCCCCGATTTTATAGTCGAAAGTGTTCTTTGCTCAGGTGTTTCATTGGTACCCTTGTCTACGCTGCTTGCATCCCTGCTCCTCAGTTTTCTTGTTCCCTAAGAGCCACTGATGGGACTGTGGCTTACAGTTCATGTCCCACCTTTAGAACCGGCACCTTGCCACCAGCTTTGCCAAGAATAGCTGTGTCCCTTCTTTTCTTCCCTGTCTCCTACATACTTGTCCAGCCGCCTAAAATATTGTACCAGAGAAGTTCCTGAGTGGCCACATGGAGAATGTGAAGATCAGTGTTCCAGGAGAAGTGGGTTCTTTCACTGTCTTACGTTTAATTGGTATTTGCTGAGATCTTAGCTCTGCAGGGTTGTGAATGATAGGAAATATTTGCACTTGGCAGGCCTTAGAAGGATCCTTCATTTGGACAGTCTTATGAATGTGAGATGAACAAGTCCCCTTCCTGTAAATTCTCATTTGAGCTTCATAGCTGTTGTTTGAGATTGGTAAGTCTGGTGGTTTGGGCAGGATCACGTGGCTTCGTGGCTGCCCTTCCTCATCAGCTGTTCTGACTTTCCACACAGGAGAGCGTTTTATTAATCAGGAGGAAGGTAGTGCAGGAGGGTTAACTACAGTTCCCTGGCTGAGGGAAGAGAGAGGGCCTAGTGTGGCTGGACTTTGGGGAAACTTTTGTCAGAGGGTGGGTGGGATTTGGATAAACAGGAGTAAGACCTTTGTTAAGGTTTTGAGATGGCAGAGAATGTTTTATGTTCCCGGAAACAGAGACACAGTGACTGTCATAGCCGGCAGGAGGATTAGTCGAGTGTCCTTGGGATCTGAGAGTGAATACGGGCCTGGGTCAGCCTGGAACAGAAGAGTATAGACTGATGGTTTCAGAACTGTGAAGTTTATTGTTTGAGCAGAGGACAGAGTGGTTGAAAACAATAGCATTAAGTAAATACTAGCCTGTTGCTGGCATATAGGGTTTGGGAAGAAGGTGAGAGGGTGGGACCTGGAGGGCCAGGTGCCTTAAAGCAAGGAGTCTGTTGAAGTCCTGTGCACAGATGGTGTGAATGGAAGAAAATGGGTGGGTGATTGCTGTAAGATCAAGAAGTAAATAAGCAGCACGTGAGTACCTAGCGGGTAATAGGCCATGAAGGGCAGTACTAGTCAAACTTGCTGCGAAGGCTGTATGTCTGGGTGAGTGGAGTGTGGTGTTGGGGGTGATGGGAATAGTGAAGTTGAGGGAAGAGTTGGTTAGGAAAGAGTGACGATGAGTCTGATTTTGCAGCCTGCAACACTAAGTTGTTCAGTTTGGCAGGAAGCTGCCAAATTCATCGTGGAAAATTAGTTTCTAGTTTTCCTGCTCTTTGCATAGGCATAGTCATTGGGATTTTCATTCACTTTCCATTTGACAGTGAATTGAGGCTTCCAGCTGAAAGGAAAACCACCAAATAGCGTGTGTCCTGGAGATAATCTCTCCCTTCAGTCAACTCCTCATCGAGTTGTGTGCTCCTCAATCTCCTGGCTGTGTGCTGAACTCAGTGCTGACCTCCAAGGACCCGGGAGTAAAAGAGGCCTGGTCCCTGTCTTGGAGGTGCAAGTCTTGGGTCCCTGGTTGGGACAGAAAGGCAGGAAGGAGGAGTTGATCGCCCTCTGTGACCAGTCTCCACCTCTGGCGCATGTACTAGAGGGACCCCTAAGGCACCTGCACTTGTAATGCCTTAGATACATCTAAATTGGTGGGCTGCCTGAGAGGTAATTTTGGGTGATTGGGGGTGGTTTTACCTAGCAAGGGTGTGAGCTCATGCTGTGTGCATAGCACTGTTGTGTGCTGAGGGAGATGGGAAAGGATTTTGAGACCTTGTTCTCACCCTGCCCCCTCTCTGGCCTGTGGCAGTTTACTATGCAGTTGGGCACTAGAACATATCTGTTAGCAGGTAACGTCATTCAGCTGTGTGTAATTCAGTATCCAAACAGGTGTTGAGCTATGAGATCCGGACTGGTGAAGGTTGGCAGGCCCTTGGGTGAGGTGCTGTCGAGCGGAGTCCCATGTTTTCTGAAGTGTTTTCAGGAGTTCGAAGAGAGGACAGACATGTGGGATGAGGTAAACAGAAAAAGGGAAGACCTATTAGATCTGGTATACATTTAGATAAAACCAGAAGGGCTTTCGAGAGGTGGGGAGAGGTACATAGATTAATACACGGAGTTGGTACAGTGGGAGGGATCATGTCCTGCAGCATTTAATTTTGTGTGGTTAGCAATGTGCACTTAGCAAAAAACAAACCAAAAAAGATAAGAATGACAATAAAGGGAAAGCAAAGTAATTGAAGTGGAGCTGGCACTTTGCCCACCATATTGGTCAATGAACACAGGCCCCAGGAAGACATTGAGATAAGGCCTGCAGACTTAAAACATGGCTTCATCCTCCCTCTGTTGCTAATTACTCCCTCCCTCTCTGGTGCTTGGAATACTCTTTTGTTGAACTTCACACACAGCATTATAATCTATCTATGTGTGTTTTGCATGGCCATTGAAACTACTCTAAACACGTGTTGAGTGAATGAAAGGTGATAGCTTTGGCATCATCAGATGTTGTTTATTGATTCTGGTGTGCATGATACTATACCTTGGCAATGGCATGTCAGATACACATAGGACATAGAATCTGCCCCCTGGAAGCGCGGTCTTGCAGAGAAGTTGAATGCATAACCCTCCTAATGCAGGATTTATGGAATCTGGGCAGTGTCAAAAGTGTGAACTAAAGCCTGGTGCTGTGGGAAAGCAGGAGGGGATTCTTCTGACTGAGGAACGGTGAGAGTTTCAGGGCAAAGTGGACCCCGGAGGCAGGATTCCGAGTGTGTGGAGCAGCATTGGCTGAAGCTGAGATGTGTGAGACAACATGTGGCCATGGGAGCTTTATCAGCACAGTCACCTGGAGAGGTGGAAGCCAAAGTAAGTAAGTGTCCAGGGGCTCCACATGAAAGAGGGCACAGCAAGTCCCATTGTTTTCCTGTTAGTGTTGGGCTGTGTGTGTATAAAATTAGAAACTAGAAAATCAACTGTAATGACGTGTTTTTCCTTTTCCACCTGTATGATAAACTAGTACATATAAGAATTCAACTCTTGTGATAAAAATCTCCTTAAGCATGAAATAAATTATATTTTCCAGTTACTTTCCAAAAACTAAATTTCCTGTCAACCGGTATTTTGTAAAACAGGATTCAAGTTGAAACTTTGTGGTGATTTTTCCTTTATAGGAAATTTTCTTTGTGCAGAACACGCGTAGACAGGTTATAATGCTCTGTGTGAAGTTCAACAAAACAGTATTCCAAGCACCAGAGAGGGAGGGAGTAATTATCAACAGAGTGAGGATGAAGCCACGTTTTAAATCTGCAGACGTTATCTCAATGTCTTGTTTACTTTAAAGAAAGGATTTTTTACTTTAAAGAAAATCCATTAAATCAAAAAATGTGCATGGATTGTGTTTCAGATTTCAGAGCAGGTTCCCTGTTGGGTTGGGAGTGTTGCAGGTTAGAGAGAGGGAATGTCCTCATATGAGAAAATACGTGGCTTCATAGTCAAGGCTTCCCTTTAGGCTGGCCTGTTCTCTCACTGTATTCAGCCAGTCCTCGGAGGTTCTGGCTTCTTGCCTCCCACAGCAGCCCACACCGGTCCCACGTGGTAGGCACTGGTGTGGGGCTGCCCGGGGTGGTGGGACTCTGCCTTGTTCATTCAGCAGATCTTCATCTGCCTGTCCACAGGTTGAGGTTGACTGTAGAAGTGATGTGGTCTGGAGGGGCATGGTAGGGCTGGTATCGCGGTCGACGTGGAGGGCAACTTTGGTAGTCTTTGCAGCAGCCTATGGTGTGCAGCCACTCATCGGTCCAGATGTGCCCTGTGATAGTGAGAATTGCAAGCAGAAACACTTGAGGGAGTGGCCAGGAGACTCATTCTGAGTTGTGGCTGAGAGCATTTTAAGGTTTTTGGACAGTGAATACTAAGGAGTGAATATAAGAACTAAAATGTACACCTGTCTGCTTAGGCCTGATACTTCTACTCAGCATTTCTAAAATACTGCAGGCCTGCCTCCGCTGAGATTCAGCTGGGTAGGGGGAAAATAAGTGACACACAGCAGAAGACAGTTTAAATTCAATTGTGACTTTGGACTAGAAAGGCTGTGTGGTGGGAGCCAGAGAAGAGAGAATCTAGTTTCACCAGCCCTCATTTTTTCTTCCTCCTGCTGTCTATCGTGTCTTGCCTGCAACAAGTGCTCAATAGAAATTTAGTGAAGGAAGTGCCAGTGCTCACTAGGGAGCTCTCCAGAAGGGCTGGGCTGAGGGAATGGTAGGGGTGTTCTGGCTAAGGGTCTCAGTTGCTTGGAAGTGAGCCCTTTGAGTGCCATTTAATGATACAAGTGCTGTCCTGGGTCAGGCCCGTCCTGCCCCGCTCCCAGACACCTGCCTCTGATGATAGCAATAAAGGATGTACGTCATCATCATAGGTAAGTGGTCCCACTTGATTTGTAAACTGAGGCTATATTGCAAGTGCCTCATTCTTTTTTTTGTGTTGTTTTTGTGAGAAGGAAAAATCTGTTCAAAGTGCAGAATGGCTGTACTGTGGAAGAAGGACGTGTGTGATCTGTGAGGCTTGGGTACCCTGTGGGCGTTACTGTTGTGTAAGCTGCTGAGAGATGGTACCTGGAGGCCCTTTTTGCAGTAGGAAAAATAGCTCCTTAGCTACCACGCCCTTCTGTGCTACTCATTTCTATCCTCTAGACCACAGCACCAGTTTGGGCCCTTGTTAACTTCTCCTTTGCAAAACTTTGACAGCCTGTTACCGAGCCTCTCCATGTCCACGGTCTGCATTCCAAT